ACCCCCAGGCTTGGAATCAGGCTCTCACGATGGGCAGCTTGGATAAGGAGCGCACGCATTGTGGGTTGTTGAGGTCTCCGGGCGTGCAGAGCAATCTAGCACTGTGCGCAGGCCCCGGGTTCTTCCTCGGGGACGGGAGAGGGAATCTGAAACCGAGACACGCACGGCCCACATGAAGACAGAGGCGGAGAGAGGAGGCCGCGTGGGAGCTGGGGCGTGATGCTGCGGGCTCCTGGGCACGGGCAGGGCGTGACCCGAGCGTTTGTGTGATGAGGTGGGGCATGCTGGGAGCACTGCCATGCGTCCTCACAGTGCCTCAGCCTCCGAGTGTCCCCAAACCCGGACAGGGAGGCGCTGAGCTGGAAGCATCCCTCCCCGCCTGTCCTCTGCCTTCAGCTCCCAAGGTTGTCTTGAAGCCGACCGAGTACACACAGACTTGTGAGGCGCCCGCGGCACCCGACGCGTCCTGGGGCAGAGTCTTGGAAGAGAGATGAAAAGGTCTACTGGGCTCAGGCCCATGGGGGCTGACTATTCTCTCGCCACCCTTCTCAGCTGGTGCCGGGTGCTGGAGGGGGATGAATGCATTCCCCTGGACCCACTGGTCTCGCCCATGAGAAACGTTGACTGAGTCGTCTGAACTCTCTCCCTCTGGATTCCGGGTGTTCTGCCAGGCTGACTGTCTGAGCAGGCTGCTCCGGGAGCCTTCCCCCCCGGGCGGTAATTTCTCCTTAAGATCTTTGCCTTGGGGCTTCAAGGAGGCATCGTTTTTTTGAGAGTCAAGAGGGTTTTTCGTGGGCTTTAAGGGACCAATGGCTCCGGGCTCAGTCTTTCTCTATAGGGACAATCCACTGCATCAGGAAGCCCCTGGGTGTCACAAACGCTTTACCCCCCCTCCCCAGAAGCGATTCATAATGCCCCTATAGGACAGGGTGGGGCTTCCCCTGTGGGTTTCCAACACTTTAACTCTGTGTGGGAGTAGAAAGCCGCCTCTTTCTCCCAAGGAGCGGCTGGTGATTTCAACCTGCTGACCTTGTGGTCAGCAG